CCGGGGCAGGCGGGAATCGAACTCATGCGGAAGCGGCTTTAGATTCTCAGTGCTATGCTTTAACCCGCTGCGCCACCAGGGAGGGCCTATTTTTTTTCTTTTTTAACATAAAAATGTTTTTTAATTTATTACCTGCTTTGGCAATAGAATAGTGGCAAAAAACATATAAAACTAGACTGATATATAAGGGAAATGTAAAAATGATGGGAATAAGACTGAATACTGAGTTGTGTAGTTTAAAATTCACAAATGTTTCTGTATTGTTATATAGCTGGTATATAGATTTAGATGAGTAGTTTTTAGATTACATAGTTTATCACTTACCATAAACGTAGCCAATACACGCCTGTTCCACTGCCGAGTAAGGGATCTGTGCATCAGCTAAAGCCTTCTGGCCTATAAGAACAAAAAGGCTTTATCGAATATTGCTTTCAATTTTGCTTTAGGTGAGTAAAAAATAAGCTTGTAAGTCTACCTTTCTATATATAAAGTCTATGTTCAATTCAAATGATAAATCCCTTATGAAATCATCTAAGATGTCTCCCTTCAGAAGTGGTAACTTCTTCCCCTAAGCAACAACATCCATCACTTACACATCTCCTGTTTGATACTTAACTTTTTGTCTTAACTGTCAATGTGATAAATCCAAGAGTCTCCTTAATAGCAAGATTCTTGTCTTACTCATCTCAGTAATTTCCCTGTATATCTAGAGAGCAAAATTGAATAGAATGTCATGGGGTAGGGAAGATAAAAGACACTTATATAGTCAGCTTCAAGAGATGATTCTATAAATAAAGAATGAGTTTTAATGATGCTATCCAAAGTATATAAATGACCAACAGAGGAGCTAAAGAGAATTATGAAAATAAACTGAGAAGAGGAACACAGGTTAGAGAGAAGATGTAAACTAAAGCCTCACCTACCAAGGTGAGAAGTAAACAGAAGTCTAAAGTTGAAAAATCAAGAACTGAAATAGCATGGTGGAATAATAATTTAGAAATATGGGATAACTACCAGAAGAACTAAAGCCAAACAGTCAAAAGAAATTGTGCCCTGGGCCTCTCTGGTGGCACAGGGGTTTTTAGTCTCAGCTCTATGAAGCTATTGCCAGTCACTGCAACATGAGTTCAATCCCCTGCCACGGAGCTAACCCACCTGGTGCAGCAGACCTCTTCTATACTGCCCACTGCTGCTCCCCTCAGCAGTGTATTTCAGTTGATCTGCCTGTTTTGCTCCCCATTCTGCCTCTGGTGAATCCTTTCACCCCCATACCTCTGACCTGTACCCCAGTTCTTGTATGCACAAACAAATCTTTAAAA